TTTTGTTTTGTTTTGTTTTGAGACGGAGTTTCACTCTCGTTACCCAGGCTGGAGTGCAATGGCGCGATCTCGGCTCACCGCAACCTCCGCCTCCTGGGTTCAGGCAATTCTCCTGCCTCAGCCTCCTGAGTAGCTGGGATTACAGGCACGCACCACCATGCCCACCTAATTTTTTTTTGTATTTTTAGTAGAGACGGGGTTTCACCATGTTGACCAGGATGGTCTCGATCTATTGACCTCGTGATCCACCCGCCTCGGCCTCCCAAAGTGCTGGGATTACAGGCTTGAGCCACCGAGCCCGGCCGGCCTTCTAGTTTTAAGGCCTCTCAGGCCTCATTCCACTTCCAGTCACTTCCTAGACTGTGTCAAATCACTTGAATAAACTCTCACAGTTTCACAGTTCCTCCCAATTAGTACCAACAATCTAACACCCTCAACCCCTGTCTTATAAACGCTTTCCAGTGCTAAGTACAACAGGAGAAAGAGCATACTCATGCAAATCAGAAACCATGGCTCTAAGGGGCAGTCTCACTAGAGCCTTCGTCGCTGCTCAGTGCCACCTCTGCTCATCTTTGGTTAGCTTCCGCTGACTCTTGGAAGCTTCAACAAATGCACCATGAGTCCCCTGCCTGCCTTCCCAATTCCCATACACTCAACAGAGGACACTGCCTCCTATTGGCCAAGAAAACAGAAGTCATCAGGTGCGAAGTCCCTCAACTCTGCCACTGATTGATTCACTGACATACACAATCACCCTAATGTCCTTCCCTCTAATCCCACTCTCATCTCTTCTAGAACCTGCTCCATCTGTTGTAGCTATTTTTTCTTTTTTGAGACAGAGTCTTGCTCTGTCACCCAGGCTAGAGTGCAGTGGTGTGATCTCGGCTCACTGCAACCTCTGCCTCCCAGGTTCAAGTGATTCTCGTGCCTCAGCCTCTCGAGTAGCTGGAATTACAGGCATGTGCCACCGCACCCGGCTAATTTTTGTATTTTTAGTAGAGATGGGGTTTCACCATGTTGGCCAGGCTGGTCTCAAACTCCCGACCTCAAATGATCTATCCATCTCGACCTCCTGAAGTGCTGGGATTACAGGTGTGAGCCATCTTGCCCGACCAAATCTATTTTTTACTTGTCCTCTCTACTGGTTTCTTCCCTTCAGCATTATAAACAAGTAAAATCGTTCCTGCTTAGAACAACTATTCTTTTCTTCAGACAATGTCTCATTCTGTTGCCCAGGCTAGAGTGCAGTGGTACCATCGTAACTCACTGCAGCCTTGATCTCCTGGGCTCAAGTGGTCCTCGCATCTCAGTCTCCTAAGTAGCTGAGACTACAGGCTCACACCTCAATACCCAGCTAACTTTTAAATTTTCTGTGGAGATGGTGTCTCACTATTTTGCCAAGACGCGTCTTGAACTTCTGGGCTCAAGGGATCCTTCCAAGTCTCCCAAAGTGCAGGCATGAGCCACTGAACCTGGCCTAGAACAATCCTGTTTTGACACTACCCTTTATTCTGGCTACTAATATCCTCTTTATTATTTCCCCTTCCCACTTCTCACTCTAGCTAGCTGCTGCTTCTTTTTCTTTTTTTTCTTTTGAGACAAAGTCTTACTCTGTCACCCAGGCAAAAGTGCAGTGGCACAATCTTGGCTCACTACAACCTCCGCCTCCCAGGTTCAAGTGATTCTCCAGCCTCAGCCTCCCAAGTAGCTGTGATTACAGGCACCCACCTCCACGCCCGGCTAAGTTTTTTATTTCAGGTAGAGATGGGGTTTCACCATGTTGGTCAACCTCAGGAGGCTGATGTCAAACTCCTGACCTCAAGTGATTTACCTGCTTTCATCTCCCAAACTGCTGGGATTACAGGCGTGAGGTGTCAGCCATGAGCCACTGTGCCCAGCCCTCACTCTATTGCTTATAAAAATATTACATCACGCCTGTAATCCCAGCACTTTGGGAGGCTGAGCCAGGCAGATCACAAGGTCAGGTGTATGAGACCAGCCTGACCAACATGATGAAACCCCGTGTCTACTAAAAATACAAAAATTTGTTGGGCTTGGTGGTGTGCAACTGTAATCCCAGCTACTCAGGAGGCTGAGGCAGGAGAATCACTTGAACCCTGGAGTTGGAGGTTGCAGTGAGCCGAGATTGTGCCACTGCACTCCAGCATGGGTGACAGAGTAAGACTCAGTCTCAGGAAAAAAAAAAAAAAAAAAAAAAAAAGAGTATTATAAACTTGCTAGCTCTACTTTTTTCTTTTTAGCCTCTCTCTGTTGTTCATGCAACAATGGACACAAACTGATGGTTCTTCTAATCATCTCGTCACTTCCTTTATTAATATAATTACCAATCTTCTTGCTGCTAAATCTACTGGGTATTTTCCAGATCTCGGCTTAGCTTAGAAGATTTTAGGTAAATAAGGAACAGCAAATGTCAAAACAATGAGACACTGAGTACCCTAGCGGGTGTGCAGAATTAGGTTGCATAAGTTCATTCTCTTAGCCTCATTTGCTGACAAACAGAAATGTCTTATTACACCGACGCAGGGGAACCACTGATTATGTCTCACAGGATAATGAAGAAATGCAAGCAGTCTCCTTAGAGAAGACAGTTCGGCTGCCTGTCCTTGAGAATAGATGTGAAAAAAATCACTTGCTCAAGCTAATCTGTCAATCTGTGAACCAAGAGCCTTGGAAATCCACATATAGATGCACAATGAAATTTGGAAGTTTTCTTTTCTTTTTTTTTTTGGAGACAGAGTCTTGCTCTGTTGCCCAGGCTGGAGTGCAATGGTGCAATCTTGGCTCACTGCAACCTCTGCCTCCCAGATTCAAGCGATTCTCCTGTTTCCACCTCCTGAGCAGTTGGAATTCCAGGCATGTGCCACCATGCCCGTTTTTGTATTTTTAGTAGAGACAGGGTTTCACCGTGTTGGCCAGGCTGGTCTCAAACTCCTGACCTCAAGTGATCTGCCCAACTCAGCCTCCCAAAGTGCTGGGATTACAGGCATGAGCCACTGTGTCTGGCCAAAATATGGAAGTTTTCCTAAGTTAGCAATTATTTTTTTGAGTTGGTAACCTGTGGAGAGGGCACAACAGGAGACAGCGTGGGTCCCACAGATGGCAGCATATGTGCCTGGGAAAGGGAATAGCTCTGCTCTCTGCTGTAGTTCCCTGCCCTGGAAATTTAGCTGAAAAGGGAGTTTTCCAGTTTCCTTCAGTTTCCTATTCCCCAGGTTTGGAATGTTGTAGAAATAAGCCAGTGTTGTCAGAGCTTCTTGACAAAATGTCTTAATTACTAGCCTCTATTCATGAAATGTGAACACTGGTTAGGTCAAAATTCTGGTTCAGAGAGGCTGAGAGATCTGAGGCTGAAACAAGAACAAGGTTTTCTACCTAGGATCACCTAGAGCATTAAAAGCAAGAAGGATAGCCAAGTCAAAGTCAACTTGAGAAGGCTGAGGAGTTTGAATGACAGAAAACAAGTCCAGATGATGAAGCCAGGTGCCAGAGCAAAGAGTCAGAGTGGGATTCACAGAGATGGGGCAGGTTCACCTGGTGTCACGAACCAGAGTAGAAACTGTCTCACTCAGCATCCAGCATGGAGTCAGCAGTCCACTCCGTGTTCAAACAGCCAGGCAGAACATAGTAGGTGGTATGCCAGCAACAGGAAGCTAAGGTGGTTGGGATTTTTTTTTTCCCAAAGAAATCCCATATTTAACGGAATGCTTTAAACAAAAGAGTATAAAGCCAACAGATCCGGGTTTTGAAATATTTAAGTAAAATGACAGCGTAACACTAATAAACAAAAATGCAATTTTAATCTAGATTCTTTTTTTATTTTTGAGATGAAGTCAAGCTCTGTGACACAGCCTGGAGTGCAGTGGCATGATTTTGCTTCACTGCGACCTCTGCTCCCAGGTGTAAGCAATTCTGCCTCAGGCTCCTGAGTAGCTGGGCCTACAGGTGAACACCACCATGGCTGGCTAATTTTTTGTATGTTTAGTAGAGACATGGTTGCACCATGTTGGCCAGGCTTGTCTCGAACTCCTGACCTTAAGTGATCGTCCGCCTCAGCCTCTCAAAATGCTGGGATTACAGGCGTGAACTGCCATCACCTAAATGCTGACAGAATGTGGGTGAAATACTGGAACGAGAAATGGAGAAATGGGAAAATGATATAGAAGGGCTAGTTAAAAGTACTTTACTGCAGAGTGAAACAGCCAGTCCATTGGGGTACATATCTTCAGGAAAATGAGGAGGAAGAAAATGCATCAAAGGGGACAGGTGGAGATAGAGAGAGAGGCTGGAAGAGACGAGAATCGTGTGCATCCCAAGCCAGGGTGGAAGAACGTTTTCAGAAGGGAAAGTCCACACAATCCTAACTGGCTTTGTCGCCACTGGATTCGACTGGAAGGAGGGCAGTGGTAATGTCCAAGAAAACAGTGTAAGTGGCACAGGTAGGAACTGGGGTTACATCACACAGGAGAGCAACAGAATTAGAAATTAGGCTGTCAGTTGCAGACAAGTGTAAAGAGCTTGATGATAAAAGGAAAAAGAAAAGACGAAAAATAGATTAAAATGGCAGAAGATTTTTGATACGGAAAAGAAAGATTTTTTAAAAAATTTCTTCTAGGATCATCTCTCATGGAAAAGAAAGGTTTAAAGAATCCTGAGACGGGATGTGTAAATAAAAAATACAAAGAAAATGCTATGTGGATATCTGCAATATTAAGGTATTTATGGGTGTTTAAATGGATACCTTCAAAATAACCTCGTTTTGTGTGCATTTTTTAAAACAATAAGTATATGTCATCTGTTCAATGAGAAAAAATTAAGACAGCCATTTCAACTTTGGAAAAATATCAAATACATACTGATTTGTTTCAAAAGCCTGAGTATTCCTTAAATCCCACAGGGAGATTTCTGGAGCACTGCGCTGAGTGGTTCAGAAGTGGCTGCCTTCCCTCGCTAAGCAGCAGTGCCCAAGAGCATGCACTTACCTGGACAGGTGTCTAGCGGGCTGTCTTTTTCTATCACCCACTCTTCCTCTAGCTCCAACTGCGCGATTACCTCTGGCTTATAAAGCTGATGCCCTATTCGTGGGAGAAACATACATCTTAGGAGTTTATACTGGGAACAAAATTCTCGTTCAGACACATTCCCAACACTTTTAGTCCTTAGAGCCTCTGGAGGGGAGACTTCAGAGGCAGCAAAATAAAGCTATCCATCTCAACTCAATGAAGACACTCCACTGGAGGAGGAAGAGCAGAAAACAAAGGTCTCTGACTTCAACACTGATTAGCATTCTTCTGTCCTGGCCCAAACTCTATTCACAAAAGCTGTGGAGGCTTCCTCAACTTAAGGATATAAACCCATGTGAATGGTGCCCAGCTTCACAGGGTGCCATCCTCACCCAGTGCGACCAGATTTCTGTAGTTCTCCAGCATCACGTCCCGGTAGAGGTCCTTCTGGGCAGGGTACAGCTGGTCCCATTCCTCTCTGCTGAAGTCCACAGCCACATCCTGAAACGTCAGTGATTCCTGAAACATCAAGCACATCCCTGCTCAGGCAAAAACTGTTCTTACAGGGACCCTCAGGGGAGGGGGTAAAAGTGCAGCACCAGGATATCTATGCCATCGTGCTGACAGTCTTTAGGACTCTTGAGTCACTCAGGTCAACTTTTCTTTTAAAAACATTAGTTCCGGCCGGGCGCGGTGGCTCAAGCCTGTAATCCCAGCACTTTGGGAGGCCGAGGCGGGTGGATCACAAGGTCAAAAGATCGAGACCATCCTGGTCAACATGGTGAAACCCTGTCTCTACTAAAAATACAAAAAACTAGCTGGGCATGGTGGCGCGTGCCTGTGATCCCAGCTACTCAGGAGGCTGAGGCAGGAGAATTGCCTGAACCCAGGAGGCGGAGGTTGCGGTGAGCCGAGATCGCGCCATTGCACTCCAGCCTGGGTAACAAGAGCAAAACTCCGTCTCAAAAAAAAAAAAAAAAACAAACATTAGTTCTGCCGGGCGTGGTGGCTCACGCCTGTAATCCAAACACTTTGGAGGCCAAGGCAGGCGGATCACCTGAGGTCAGGAGTTCAAGACCAGCCTGACCAACATGGTAAAACCCTGTCTTTAAAACACACACACACACACAAAAACACATTAGTTCCTTTCTACCATCTCTCAAGGCAAAAACATAAATGAAATAATTTCTGTGTTTAAATTTTTACAGTTTGCTACAGGGGGAAAATGACTCTCATTTCATCCAAATTATTAAAAAACAAGCATGCCTCAGAGATACTGTGGGTTGAATTTCACACACAACAGTAATATTGCAATAAAGTGAGTCACATGAATTTGTTGGTTTCCTCGTGCCTATAAAAGTTAAATTTACAATGTATTGTAGTCTATTAAGTATGTCATGGTGATGTCTAAAGAAATGACGTGTATACTTTAATTTAAAATACTCTATGGCTAAAAAACGGTAATGATCATCTGAGTCTTCAGCGACTTGTCATCTTTTCACCAGTGGAGGGTCTCGCCTTGATGCTGATGGCTGCTGACTGATCAGGGTGGTGGCTGCTGAAGGATGGGGTAGCTGTGGCAACTTCTTAATATAAGACAGCAATAAGGCCAGGTGCGGCGGCTCACGTCTGTAATCCTAGCACTTTGGGAGGCCGAGGTGGGTGGATCACTTGAGGTCAGGAGTTCGAGACCATCCTGGTCAACATGGTGAAACCCCATCTCTATGAAAAATACAAAAAAATAGCCGGGCATGGTGGCCTGTGCCTGTCATCTCAGCTACTCAGGAGGCTGACGCAAGAGAATTGCTTGAACCTGGAAGATGGAGGTTACATTGAGCTGAGATCATGCTGGTGCACTTCAGCCTGGGCAACAGAGCAAGATTCTGTCTCAAAAAACAAAAAAGCAGCAATAAAGTTTGCTGTACTGACTCTTCCTTTTATAGCAGAGTTCTCTGTAGAATGTGATGCTGTTTTATAGCATTGTACCTGCAGTATAACTGCTTTCAAAATTGGAGTCGGTCTTTGGTCTTTTCAAATCTGGCTGCTGCTTTATCTAATAAGTTTATGGAATATGCTAAATCCGCTGATGCCATTTCAAGTGTTCAAAGCATCTTCACCAGGAACTGATTCCATATCTAAAAACCGCATTTTTGGCTCATCCATACGCAGCAATTCTGCACATCTGCAGGCTCCACCTCTAGTTCAAGTTGTTCTGCTATTCCCACTATACCTGCAGTTTGTTTCTCCACAGAAGCCTTTTTTTTTTTTTTAGATGGAGTCTAGCTCTGTCACACAAGCCGGAATGCAGTGGCGCAATCTCAGCTCATTGCAACCTCCGCCTCCTGGGTCCAAGCGATTCTCCTGCCTCAGCCTCCCGAGTAGCTGGGACTACAGGCAAGCGCCACCATGCCTGGCTAATTTTTGTATTTTTAGTAGAGAAGGCGTTTCATCATGTTGGTCAGGCTGGTCTCGAACTCCCAAACTCAGGCAATCTGCCCGCCTCGACTTCCCAAAGTGCTGGGATTACAGGTGAAAGCCATTGCGCCTCGCCCCTCCAAAGAAGTCTTGAAAGCCTCAGTCTCATGATGGTTGGAATCAACTTCTTCCAAACTCTTGTTAATGTCGATATTTAACCTTCTCTCCTGAACCACAAGTTTTTTTTTTTTTTGAGACAGTTTTTGTCACATTGGCTGGAGTGCAATGCCATGATCTTGGCTCACTGCAACCTCTGCCTCCCAAGTTCAAGCGATTCTCCCGCCTCAGCCGTAAGTGGCAAAGGATTCCTGCTTCCTTTCAGTGAAGAATGCAACTCCTCCTTTCACTTGAACACTTAGATGCCATTGCAGGGTTCTTACTTGCCCTACTTTCAATATTATTGTGTCTCAGGATATAGGAAATACCAGGAGGAGGGAGATGGAGGAACAAGAACAGCCAGCTGGTGGAGCAGTCAGAGCATACAACATTTATCAGTTAAGGCTGCTGTTTTACATGGGTGCAGTTCATGGCACCCCAAAACACAACATCAAAGATCGCAAATTACAGGCCACCATAACAGATATAATAATAATTAAAATGTTGGAAATATTACAAGAATTACTAAAGTGTGACACAGAGACATGAAGTGAGCCACACGCTGTTAGAAAAATGCCAACGGGCTGTTCTTGAGGTAGGGTTGCCAAAACCCTCCAATTTGTAAAAAAAAAAAAAAAAAAAAAAAATGTAGTATTTGCAAAGCACAATAAAGTGAAGTGCAGTAGGCTGGGCGAGGTAGCTCATGCTTGTAATCCTAGCACTTTGGGAGGCTGAGGCAGGCGGATCACCTGAGGTCAGTAGTTCAAGACCAGCCTGGCCAACATGGTGAAACACAAACTCTACTAAAAGTACAAAAAGCCGGCCGGGCGCGGTGGCTCACGCCTGTAATCCCAGCACTTTGGGAGGCCGAGGCGGGTGGATCACGAGGTCAAGAGATCGAGACCAGCCTGGTCAACATGGTGAAACCCCGTCTCTACTAAAAATACTAAAAATTAGCTGGGCATGGTGGCACGTGCCTGTAATCCCAGCTACTCAGGAGGCTGAGGCAGGAGAATTGCCTGAACCCAGGAGGCGGAGGTTGCGGTGAGCCGAGATCGCGCCATTGCACTCCAGCCTGGGTAATAAGAGTGAAACTCTGCCTCAAGAAAAAAAAAAAAAGAAAAGAAAAAAAAAAAAAGTACAAAAAGCCAAGTGTGGTGGCTCATGCCTGTAATCCCAGCTACTTGGGAGGCTGTGGCAGGAAAATCGCTTGAACCCAGTAGGCAGAGGTTGCACCACTGCACTCCAGCCTGGGCAACAGAGCAAGACTCCGTCTCAAAAAAAAAAAAGGTGGCTGGGCGCGGTGGCTCACACCTGTAATCCCAGCACTTTGGGAGGCCGAGGCGGGTGGATCACGAGGTCGAGAGATCGAGACCATCCTGGTCAACAAGATGAAACCCCGTCTCTACTAAAAATACAAAAAAAGTTAGCTGGGCATGGTGGTGCGTGCCTGTAATCCCAGCTACTCAGGAGGCTGAGGCAGGAGAATTGCCCGAACCCAGGAGGCGGAGGTTGCGGTGAGCCGAGATCGCGCCATTGCACTCCAGCCTGGGTAACAAGAGCGAAACTCCATCTCAAAAAAAAAAAAAAAAAACCACACAAAAAATTAGCTGGGCATGGTGGCACATGCCTGTAATCCCAGCTACTCAGGAGGCTGAGGCAGGAGAATTGCCTGAGCCCAGGAGGCGGAGGTTGCACTGAGCCGAGATTGTGCCACTGCACTCCAGCCTGGCGCCTGGTGACAGAGTGAGACTCTGTCTCAAGGAGGAAAACAAACAAACAAACAAAAAAACAAAGCAAATAGGCTGGCAGTAGAAGGCACATATGTATGCTAGGATCAGAGAATCAGCTGCTTTGCCTCACACAGGGATTCCAAATAAAAAAGGACCTCTAAATCTCCTCTATTGTCAATGCTTCTTCAACAGCCTGCGTCACAGGAGACACAGACGTATATACCGCTCCCTCTTCCCTTACTCCCGAACATGCTCCCCAAATACCAGCACTTCATGGGTACAGTAACTCCTTAATTTTGCGGAACAAGTATGGTGTTCCAATAAGTGCTTTTCCCGTAAGTTAGGATTCAAGGCCGGGCGTGGTAGCTCACACCCGTAATCCCAGCACTTTGGGAGGCTGAGGCGGGTGGGTCACCTGAGGACAGGAGTTTGAGGCCAGCCTGGCCAATATGGTGAAACCCCATCTCTACAAAAAATGCAAAAAAACTTAGCCAAGATTGTGACACTGCCCGCCAGCCTGGGTGAGAGTGAGACTCTGGCCTCCCCCACCCAAAATTCAATATGTAAGTAGAGTACTGGGCTTGTATTTAATTTGCATGCTTTGATAATTTAACTTTCCAAAATGTACTTTGATTTAGTGACTTAGGCAATTTACAAAGCACTGAGACTTTAAGAAATGAGTTTATCCAAGGTCAAGCAACTGGATTGTTATTAATAAATAGCAATAGGATTTCATCTTAGCTTTTTTCTCTTGTTTTTGAGACAAGTTTCACTCTTGTTGCCTGAGTTGGAGTGCAATGGTGCAATCTTGGCTCACTGCAACCTCCGCTTCCTGGGTTCAAGTGATTCTCCTGCCTCAGCCTCTTGAGTAGCTGGATTACAAGCGCCTGCCACCACATCTGGATAATTTTCGTATTTTTAGTAGAGATGGGGTTTCATCATGTTGGCCAGGCTGGTTTCGAACTCCCGACCTCAGGTGATCTGCCTGACTTGGCCTCCCAAAGTGCTGCGATTACAGGTGTGAGCCACCGCACCCAGCCTAACTGACTTCTGTTTTGGGGTAAGTAATACATTAATATGGTATAATTGCAAAAATATATGGAAAAACATATAATAAAAAAGTCTCTCAGGCTTTTTCCCTCTCTGTACAGCTCCTAGTCTCTACTAATCACTATTTTTAGCCACCAGCATATTTTTTTCCAGAATTCGTTGTTA